CATTTTTAATTCATTTGGCATAACAAATATATAAGATATATATATATATAAACACATTTTCTTCCCGTTTCTTTTCTTATTTTTAATACTATTTGCACAATTATCTCTAATATTTCCAACAAAAATATATAGATATTAAATATAATTTCGTGAAAGATATGATTGCACAAAAAGAAGTGAACATGAATACATATCTATACGCGATATGGTAATAGATCTATTTACAAAGCCTATACCAAGAGATGGATATTATAGGCATGTTAATTCATTAGGTTTGCGTAGGTGCTAAATGTACTTACATTTAATATATTTCTCAACCATGTTCAATGGTTATGTTATCAATGAAATACTTTTTTTTTCCTTTCTCATTGGCCTTATTTACATTTATTGTAGAGCATATATATATAAACATGTGTATATATGTTGTATACATCTATATATTTAGAGAAAGTATGTTAGACATATATAAGATTACTTTTCTCACACAGGTAAGCGCCTTTATTATTTGGTAAGACAAAGATGAGACAAATTTAAGCTAATTATCTAGGTGACGAATGAGAATCAGCTTAAGTATTAATAATTGTCGCCACTAATCAGGGTGAAGAATTAAGTCATAATAAAATTATTAAGTTTGTAACACTAAATGAATAATTTAATGATTATCATTTTATCTGTCTTATTGTCATATTACAATTATGAAGAGTTAAAAAGACATGTAAGAAAACTCAAGTTAGATATTAAGTATATCTGACTACAATATATACGGTATTTATAAGAAATAAAAGACATGCACTCTACGAGAAATGAGAGAATATCGTAACATGTGATTCATACCACATGTGCAAATAATTTGACCAAAGGGTAATAAAAATGAGATCTCAACATTAATATTGTGTGAGACCTAAAAATTTTAAGATAATCTCATATAATACCCTCATAACTCTAATATGTTTCCTAAACCTTTTAATTAAGACTCACTATCTTATGATATAACTAAAGGATCATGAATGATTCGGTCCAATGAGATATCTCTAAAAAAACGACATAAATAAAATGTGAGAGAATTAAGATAAAAAAAAATAACAATTTAAAAAATATATCACATCATTAATATATATTCATTGATCAACCAATTATGTTTATATATGGAAAAACATAATTATAAATGTACTTGATTTATCAGTTAAATGAGATCGTTGGAGATATAATTACATACTCCTAGCTTCACTATTCGAGAAGTTATATGCTTCTAACATATGTATAGCTAAAGTGCTCTCAAATTATGTATGGTCACACAATCTATTTATGTATGAGTTCTGTAGAATTGAAGAGAGAGGTGGTCTCATCACGTGAATAGATGTTGAATTTAATCGGGTGGGTCACCAATAATGGGACCTGACCAGGTTGGGATTAGTGGTAACTGCCTAACAATTACCATTTAAAATTCAAAATGGTGGTTAGTTACTACATCAAAAAAAAAAAAAAGTTAACCACTTAATAAAACTATAAAAGAAAAAAAAGTGGAAAAAAAAAAAACATAAGAAAAAAATATATAGGAAAAAAAGACTCTCACTCTCTTTCTCTCAAAAAGATTATGCTTATGTGATTCTTGTGAAAAACAAGAAAAATTATTTTGTTGATTCATTTCTTCAAAATTAAGTTTTTACAGGAGATATTTATGTTACAAATATTTTTATACAATTCACTATTTGTTAATGTGATTACATGTGTTGTCATGCATATTTATCTTAAAAAATTACATTTATTTGTGAATTATTTGTTAATTATATAAATTTCTAACACATTTCACATCAACATAAAAAAAAAAAGAATGACAATAGAGTATTTAAAATAAATTTCTACTAGTACTTTAAAACAAAGAAAGATATCACAATCTTGAGATTTTTTCTTTAAAAAATAATACCATACATAACATGTGAAGTAATTAATAAAAAAAAATATAATACTTAAAATCATCAACATAATTAGGGGGAGAGTCCAAATTCCTCTAATAAGTATTTTACTCTTAATTGTAAAAATACTTTTAAAACACAAAAACTGAGCCAAATATCTCCTTAAGAAGATAATGATGGAGAATGGAGGAGGGAAAAGAATGAAGAGGATAAAAACATAGAAGGGAGATAAAAGGTTGTCAATGTCAGTTCTAGCATGGGTGGCAGAGGAAAGAGAAGAAAGATTGCAATTTCTTGAAAAACTGGTGGTATGATGGATAAGATTTCAAAATTAAAGACATTTGATGATGTACCAAAAAAATAAAAACAAATCTTGTAACAGTATAAAATATGTACCAATACATTCATAGTTCACATATTATCTTCAAGAACATTGTATGTTCATGATTTTTCAAAATTGAGAATTTGTTATAAAGGCCAACAGCTCACACAATAAGTTATTTAGGCAAAAAGAAAAAACAAAAAAGCATATCGATGAGCTCAAAAATCACACTTCACTTGAATATGAAGCTTATAACAAAAACCAAAATTTCCAGTCTATATATCAGGATTATTCCATTAATAAGCAACGGTAATAAAGCAAATAAGGTAGCAAGCTCTGAACCTTGCCATCCCAAATATGCTATGCCCTCCTCTGGTCCCTGTCAGGTGAAATCTTACATGATCAGCAGTTCACCTTCACTAAGAAACAGCAGAACTCTGTCGCTCCTAGTTTTATCTACTTTAAATTATGTACGAGATCCAATGCATAATAGTCAAGGTACGGCCAAAGAATAACTCCCCAGATTTTCTGAGATGTAGAAATTGAACGCTTAAATTGATGTGTAGTTGGAGGAAATGTACATCAAGCTCTCCAGAGTTTCCGGATAAAATTTTCTGGCAAATAGATAACAGGGTCGCTTCAAGCCATTCCATAAGCAAGGTTTAATTGTCACCTTCTTCTGCAACCACAAAAGAAAATCAGTGATAACATGCCTTTTACCTAAACAATAATGTTTGGTCCGATACATGTTTAAAGAATCCAGTGTTTTACCTTTTCATCACTAGTCACATGTACAGATTCCTCTATAGACTGCATTCAACAAGTCTCATGGTCAGGAAAAGTAATACTATAAATGACACAGAATTTCAGATAGACCAGCAGAACCAGATATGTCTGTCTGCAACACACCGATAGGTTCTTCAGGAGGTCATAAGAAACATCTTTCACCCGGTATGCCTTGGGATGCCATTTTCCTTCAGACCAGTCAACGTGTGTCACTGACCAATTTGCAATCCCAGCAGGATCAATAATCTGAGATTAAAAAAGAAAGTTAGTTCAAAGTAGTTCAGTAATAGAGAAAAGAAAAAAAGATGAGTTATGCTCACTTTTAAGGAGTGCAGGTCTGCAAGATAATGAATATATTATATTAATTACTTACATTAAAAAGAGTCGGGAAGTAGTGCTCGTCTGCATAGCAATTACGTCCGTCCATGTTTGGCTGAGAAAGCCCACCACAATACCATCAAGATTTTTGTCAATTAAACAAAATTCAGCAACCAATGTTCATTAGTGAAACAAAGTTTAGCAGCCATTTTGTTAATGAAAAGAGAGAAATCCAGAAACTCTCATGAGTTTTATCTTACTTCCAGAAAAAATTCTAGTGAAATCCCTCTATTTTCAAATGAGATTTTATATTAATCTCCATATATTCTGTCTGTTAATAATAATTCCACTATTTTTTTTATGTACCATCTCAACATAATTTTTTCTGTCATTTTTCTGAGAGTACCCGGTCATATGATCATTGCAAATTATTAAATTACTTCAGAACTGAAAAACTTGTTGTATCCAAATGATAAGTCAGGCTGCTGGATCATTTGGCTAGGCAATTGACTGGAAAGGCAGTCAAGCTTTTCCAAAATATTTTACATAAAAGTGAGAAATGTTTTGCTCAAATCCAGAAAATGGTGGCTTTCTACGGAAAACTCATGATTTCTACAGGTTACCTATGAGGAAAAAAATAACTCTGACATAAGAGTCTCTAGCAGCAGATAAGTAAATAGATTTAGACAAGATGGAGAACCCGAATTTAAAGATTTGCATATTTGATTTTTTTTAAACAGCAGACATATTGGCTGCTTTTTGAAAGAGACACTTCTATTTCCAATTTTTTTCTTCCTTTTTTTTAGTTCTCCTATTTTTGGCTCTTAAGTGATACATACTGATTTGGTAAAGAATCATTATCAAAGCACTCAATTATCTATTTTACATGGACTGTATTTACTTTCTAGTAATTTTATTTTGACATAACATAAGATGAACCTAATAAGTAGTGACTGAATGCTTGGGAGAAGTTTGTTGTTTCATCCTCAAACGTGTAAAATAAGTGAAAGAGCATATATATACACGTACAATAGTTAAAAGATAGAGCAGAAGAAAGCAATTTACAAACATTAATGTGATAACATAGTGATTTAGCTCCAACTCCAATACACAAGGAAAGCTGACAATTGGTATCAAGGACCATAAGGATATAAGAAACTAAAAGGAATTTTTTCGTGCTTGTTCCAATCATAATCAATTGAAACTGTATTGCAAATAGGGAACAAAGCGATGAAAACCTTTTCAACATACAAGATTATTACTTGACATAGATAATCCATCCAAAGAAAACAATGCGAATTGAGATTAATACCAGGTTTACCTACCCTGCAGTGAAGCTTGAACTTTGTGTAGTACAGGCTGTCTGCCATAACAATAATAGCATGCTTTCGTGTCATGGAGAACCACTGCAGTAGAAATGTAAATCTCATGGGATATCCAATGATCTATCAACATTCTAGCTGCAAAGGAATGTCTACCATATCGATTATACCAGGCCATCTATTTGCCAAGTAAAAGGCATACAAGTAGATCAATTAAAATTCCAAATAGGAAAGATGCAAGAGTATTCTTCAACCAGAAATATACTCACAAGGAAAAAGACCCCATAAAAATTGGTAGTTCCATTGGATTATTGGTAACCACAAGAATAATTGTGATAAACCTAATTTCTCATTCGAAAAAGAATTGCATCATCATCTAGTAAAACACGAAGTTAGAAAGATCCATTCCATGATTTCAGAAGTAAATCTAAGACCTTGATATGTAGAAAACAAGGAAACTATACATATTAATGTCAGGACATAAAGGGTAAAAAAAGAGATAAATAATAAAATGAGTAAATTAATCTTTTACAAGTATTAATTAGGATTAATATTGGAGTTAATGTTTTAAATTTACGTCACAGTAGCCATCGCTATATTGATTCCAGCCATGATAGTGACTGCTTTAATTGCTTATAACCTGTAAAAGGTTCAATCTTTATGTTATAATCAATTGAGAAAAAAATAAAATTATTTTTCAGATTTTCCTCTCTGTTTCTCTTCTATTTCTCTCTTCTCTCTCTCTTTTTTTGTCAAGATCAGACAGTCATGTCAAAGGCTTCTAACAAGGTGGTATAAGAGCCGGAGAATCCGAAAATGATCATCGTGAAGGAGATCAATCTAAAACTCACCGCGTTCATGAAAGAATCGCGGCGGCAGTTTAGCATGATACTGGATCTGCTCCATGGCAGATCCACCGACTGGACCGAAGAAAGCTTGGCACACCTGGCGGAGGCATTCCTGAGAGATGTGAGGCCGACGGCTCAAGGGGCTACACCTGACAGCCAGCCGACCCTTCTTCTGCGTGATGAAGAAGAAAAGATTTAGGGTTCAGATAAAAAAATAAACTCTAAAACCAATTCAGTTATTGCATCGGAGCAAATAATACAGATTGAAACAGGTTCGCTAACTTATCCTATTCGAACCGGTCCAGCCAACATTTTGAACCGTACAGGTTCACCTGCTCCCCTTCTCTTTTTTTTTTCTCAAGCAATGGTGGCGGAAATGAACACCCTAAAGGTCTCTTCCTCGTTCACCTCGGCTAACGAGCCAGAAAGATTTACCTCTCGGAAACTCTGCCCAGGTTCCGCTTTAATCCACGCAAGGTCAAGATGAGAACCTGCAGGTCTCTCATTCTTCAGATGGGTTCTGATCTAGAAAAGAAGTGGAGGAAGGAGAAGCGGAAGAAGAAGAAGAAGCAAAAGAAGAAGAGAAGGAAGAACGCGTTACTGCAGCAGCACGATTACAACGCCCGACAATGGTTGCGTCGGTGGTGTGGAGGAGCCAATCCGTGAAAATTTGATTTTCAATGGTGGAAGCAACAGAACTGCTTTAATATATATACATAATAATAATAATAAATTGATTTTACGGGGGGTAGAGGCAGTAGAAAATTGCTTCAGAAAAAAAAAAAGATATATACATATATAATAATTAACATATATATATAAAAAGAAACTATTTTAGCATATATATATATATATAAAAGAAAAAAAAAGTTCTTTAAAAAAATATATACCTATATCTATCATAGTAAACTCTCACTCTTTACTCTCTCCTGTTCATGAGGGAGCGAGCATGAGGGAGCGTGTCACATTGTCTGATGTCGGCCTTGCACCACCATTCGCTCGGAGGGTAAAACATGTTACTCCTTGGAGGGAGGAAGTTTCTAACAATCGAAAATAAGT